GGTCCACTGCAGCTTTATATCGGCAAGCACCCAGATATACATTTTGCTAGGCATATCCTCTATCTGGTCGCTAGCGGGTCCCAGTTCCAATTAGCGGGCAGAGGTTCTACAGTCTCTAAACAAACCGTTCCTCGTCGCTTCATAGCGGACAGCTTCGAATCATTCGAAGATACGAGAGCTGCATAAGAAGTTGAGGAAGCACTCTGATCTAGGCGCGTTTTGAGTCCGCCGGATCAACCTTCCTTTTAGGTGGCAGCAGTACCATTACTAACTTAGAAAACCGCACATGTCTAAGTCTCCGCTACAGGTTGGTCGGTCAGCGGGTTCCCGATTCGCCCTTTGAACGCGGTTGTCTTTGAGCTGTTGGATAGAATCGATTTGGGCAGTCGGTGTTTGACGAAATGGATGTTTTTCAACGTGATGATGGCGGCTCAACGGTCAGCGGCGGGGTGGGTACAGAAACGAAAAGCGGGCGACTAGTTGAGGAATGAGGAAAGACGAGCCATGTTAATTAAAAATGGCCTCTTCGTTGTGATAATGACCGATGATAAGGGAGACATTTTTGTTGTTGATTGAGTCCAAACAGGACCATGACGAACGGACGCCGTAGGTGAAAATTCGTAAAAATCAAATAAGGTCGAATAGTAGAATGTATACATATTTGCAGACAATGCGAAAAAGTTTATATCAATAACGGCCATAAATATGTCAAGATACCGTAACGTTTTTGCAGAAATCAAGAGGTGCTTTTATTTCATTGCCTTGCCGTACATCTCACTATGTATTGATTTTATCACATGCATTTTAGCAATTCTGACATAATATTTTGTACTCCGTTGAGATCCACGCGCTCACTATCAGGGGAACACGCATACGGAACAAATTTTAGCTTTTTTCTTTCATCGACGATTTTTTTCTGCCTACCATTTGCCGGTGCACGATCGTAATCGATAAGCTTATATGAAGTACGCCTGAAGGACGCCCGAGGTAGCTTGAACGTGTGCAGCTTAAAGCCACGTCGGGCGCTGCTGTCAAAAGGGTAAAAGTTTGTTCCGGATCATGCGTAGCCCCACGCAAGACAGGGTCCATCAGGGCGAGCCTGACTGGAAACGAGCGAACGCTGTGGCACGGTACCGGAGCGAACACAGAAAAGAGATGTAGAGTACGAAAGACTACTGCGAGTGCGTAATTGTTTTGCGTATTTCAAACTGTCAAACTTCCAAAATTAAGCTAATTCAGCTACGAAGACTTGTTCGATTTGCTACTGGTAGCAGCAACTGTCCGCCGAAGATGTGGCTGTTTCATCTTCTGTTCCTTTCGAATGAGCACGGCATAATTGTGTCAATTCGCCAATTGTTTATCTACATTTTTCTGTAGAAGGAAGCTACACAGATCTGCCGCTTTCGGAAAATCAGAACGAAGTTAAAAAGCACGCTTAACCATCGACGGGCACCTGTGCGTAGAACGAGAAATACTTATCGTGCTTAATATGCAGAAACATGAATGGGAAACGAGATCGAAAACTGCAGTAATAATAATTAACTGGATCATTAAAAATCCACCAGTGAACCTAGCTTTTTATTGCACAGAGCTCATATGGCACCATCGTGCGTGACCGTCACAGTCTATCAATAATTAACTCAATAATCAATAATTAGAGTTCTATTAGAAAAATGTCTTTATTAAATGCATATATGTTGTTGCTCACAAATTCACCGTTGTAAGTTTTTTTTTCTCAATACTAATTAATTTTTTCGTGATGTTAGTCTGCAATTTTTTGGCACATTAATGAAAACGATCGCATCCGATGAAAACCTCAGAGCAAATTATCATTGTCTGAAATATGTCAACTTTCCTCAGTGTAACGTTGCCTCTCCAATTCTACTTAGCAGGTTTTCTGTATCGGTGATGCAACGACACCAGCAGACATTGAGTATGGCTCTCCTCCCCTGAGGTTGCGTAGGTATCATTACGACTTGCTTGATTTCCACCGTTCTCTTGATGCCTAGGTTTGTATTGCATAAGACTATTTGTGCTGACCGAAGCTGATCGTCGTGTCGTTTCCCGAGTCCTCTTAAGATGACATGGATTGTCGAGGCGTTCCATGCGTCTCTTCAATGACACGATCAAAGCGAAATCACACGACGCACGAGATGTCGTCGAACTCAATGCGGCTTCAGATAGAGAGAAGGGGTCAACCGTTCGTACGAAGAAAATCTTCTCTACGATCTCTGGTGTTGATCTGAATGGTGCAAAGTATCTGTTCAACAGTATGAACTAAGTAACTCTGGCGGCGAATAGATTCCGGGTCAGCGCCAATTTTAGACGAAAGAAGGAGTCTAATCGATTAAGGAAGATGCTGAGATCGAATAGGTAGCAGCGCATGCAGTGCTCTAAATAAGGACCCCCTGCAGAAGAAATGCTACGAACTCGAAAGTATAAGCAACAATAACATCATAATGCATTAGTTCCTATTATATAGTTCTATACACCATACGATCCAGAAGGGTCGGGTTGATTTCTAACTGAGTGAGCAATTAATTTACACTCTCTCCCTCTCCCTCTCTCTCTCTCTCTCTCTCTCTCTCTCTCTCTCTCTCTATATATATATATATATATATATATCACTCCAAAGAGGGGTTCGATCCAGAAACAAACAACAGACAAGTAAGCACAGCAGCGATGTGCACAAGGACCGGATCCTGTTCTGCGAGAACACCCGGCTTATCCGGGAGAATGAGGACCATACTTGTAGTTTTAAGATTTCTTACTGATACTTTTGCCTCTCAATAAATATGTATTTTTTTGTATTTAGTTACACCTATATATATATAGCAGTACAGCTCAACTGGGCAACCGTATATAAAAATGTAAGGCTTAGGTCCAATTTGTAAACACACATCAGGGTCGCTGTTACCCGACAAAAATTGCTATAATAGGAATAATTTGTTGAAAACGTCACTGGTTGATTAGTCCAGACGAGCGGTAACATAAAGAGATAATGATTTCTCATAGTTGCAATTCCAACTTTAGCCATTTTGCTGTAGATATTTAAATCTAAATTTACTTAGATAACAGCTTGAGCAGTCAACTTGCGAAAATAATGCACAAAGATTTTTTGTTTTCTATCTGTAAATTTCTTCTTTGTGGGTCTTCCTATTTGTATGGAGCTACGATACGTTAAATGTGCAGCACTATATTGGCTAATACAGACATCGAAAAATCTCATGGCTCAGTTATCTACAGGACTGGCGAATTGCCAGTTATCGTCGTAGTAGAACAAAATGGGCAGATTCTTGAATGAGTTTTGTGGAAATCTGTTTCAAAGTGGGGCGGGAAAAACTCCGAACCCAGCTAGACTAGTAGAAGGACTAATTGAGTCTACAATGGATGATGTAGCTTCGTTCGAGCCCAACACGAAACCCGCTATTTGTTTCTTTGCTTCGCCAAATAGTATCATCATCATTGGCAATGCCATGTTGAGTTGCTATGATTGGAGACAACCACATAAGCGAATAGATGGAAGAGACAACAGGGTAAACTCAAACGGAGAAATCTCCCACGCGCTCGATTCAATCGACGTAATCAGGGCCAATTTTTCATCGACTTCAGCAGAAGTCCATCCTCGCACGGACCGTTAGTACATACTGTTCTGAACTGCCCCGCGCTCGTTTCGGAATTAAAGCTGTAATTTATTTTCGTTGTTTTCCGCTTTTCGTGGTTATCGCATATCCGACTCCTTTATTTCATCCACCTGTCGGCAACACCGCAAATTTAATATTTGATCATCTTGACCGTACGCCACGGGATGGCTACGAACATTCACTTGTTGTCATTATTGTTGTTGTTGTTGTTGTTGTTGTTGATGGTGTTGATGTTGTTGTTGTTAAGAATAACGACAACACACGGTTATTAGCAAAAACCGAGTTCGCCTCATTTTTGGGGCTAGATACTTGCGCGAATAGAACCAGCAAAGGTCGGAACATTCGCATACAAACGGAAATATCTTCTCTTGTCCTATGGCCTACTACCCCCTACAGAATACATTAAAAAGAATTAAGCATGCTGAAAAAAGGTCCTTAGGCAAAAGAACTTAAGAATAGATTTTAGGAAACGTTGGCTTGTATAATTGACCATTGTTTCGTAAGAACTCCATAACGCCTTTTTTTCTAGCCAAACTTTTTGTTACCGTTGGCTGTATAAAATGATGCAAAAATATGCAAATACCTTTTGAAATCATGAAGCGTCTGCTTTGCTTCGTGTTTATTTCATATCAAAAGCAACGCTGAAAGGATACAGTCAGTCGCTGAATAGCCCTAAATGTCCCAATCAAGTAGGAGATGACGTGTGATCTTGATTCGTCGTGGCTTCTATGGTCTCTCAGTAAATCAAAGTTTCGCTCGAAATATATCGTGAGCCTTCGTAACACAGTATTCCACCTCCGACGGATCTGGTTCCGTTGAACAGCGTGCGCGTTCTTCCTACTAACTCGGAGTCGGATCTAACCTGATGCAAGAAAAGCCAGCGGCGGGCCCTTTCCATCAGATAACAAATCCTGCTAGGGTTATTTATCACCGATTTTATTGCCTTAATGATGAACGGTGACGAGGCAATCCTTATTGGGCGAACCCTATTGCGACATCGCAAGCTATATATAATCCGCGCACAGACACAAATATGCACGTACACAGAGTTAGTCTCTCTTTTGGCTATTATCTCACGTAAAGGAGGCACATATCGGCCAAGATTTCGTATACGTATAACGTATAGTAGAGATGCTATTGACCATGATCATTTAAGGATAGGCCATCGCCAAGCGTCAACTTTCATTCGATAATGATAAGCAGATGCCTTGTTTATCTGGGTGCAAATTTGTAATACTGTACCAACAATCGATAAAGTAGAACTGGATAATTACAAACGTATGTAATTTCGTAACTTCTTTTTGCTAATTACCTACATGTTTTTCTTCTTTCGTTTTGCCTCGATTTTCGTTGCAGAATGCGGAACAGCCGGAAGCAGCACCAGCAATTTCTTAACCCGCAGCGTCGCCGCCACGACTCGAAACCTAAACAACAGCTGCGAGAATTCTGCCGTCCGCAGCATCAACAGCAGCAGCAGCAGCAGAGATATCAACCCCAGTATCAGTCACAACCCTAACGATTCGGCCGATCCCGGGAACAACGACAACAACAGCTCCAACTCGACCAGTTCATCCAGCGGCAATTTTTTCGTCGCGGCCGTCGCAGCTGTCAACAATTCTGGCAACAGTACCTCCTCTTTGTCGTCAAACATCTACTGCAGCAGTGGGCCGAACTGCAGGGCAAGTAACAGAAGCCCGCTGAGTCTGGCCCCCCCGGGCATTGGTATCGCTGCAGCTGGCTTATCAGACGTGCTCACCTCGGCCCACCAGCTGTCAGGCCCTGCACCTTTGTTGCAACTGTCAGACGGATCTGACGGAATAGGAGGCGGTCACCGACAACGACTTCAGCTGCAACAGCAGCAGATTACGCCGGGCAGTTCATCTTTGTCAGGGTCAGCGTCAACGCCAGTCTATTTATCGCCTTCGCTCGACCAGTTTCAGCAACGGAGGCCGTTTGCCACCGGTTCTACTGACGGCGAACGGCAGGGCATCCCACTCACGAACAACAGTAATAGTAACAATTTAAGGGTAACGGAACACAAGTTTTCCTCCCAGCAAGGTGCAACGGTCCTCCATCTTACAAGCAGTTCGCAGCAGCAAGGGCAGCAGCAAACTCATCTACCCCAACAACAACAATTTCAGTTTGTAGGAGCGACAGTCGTTAATAACAGCAACAATAGTAGTAACCCGAGCAGGAAAATGGGTCGTAAGAAAATTCAGATATCGCGCATCTCGGATGAACGAAACCGGCAGGTAAGAGAAAAAATTTGTTCGAGCTTAATTGAAGTTGTGAAAACGAGCTCGATCATAAATAGAGTTTGCCGTATACGAAAAGTTAACTTGCCCCTTATTTAATGGACGTAGTCGTAGGTGGCGATATGTTGTGCATCTCGATGACAATTCTACGAAAATTCTGCTAGACCATCTACACGTTCACTGTTAGAAATGTACATTGTGAAACCTTAGCCTAGCCTCTTACCGTGCCAAATGCTAAGTGCATGTTTAAACGACCAAAAGCTTTAAATGAAATGAACATACATTTTTGATCATCGTCAGACAAGCAGCAATCTTCAGGAAGATACGTCCCACGACTATCGAGTCGGATCGATGAACCCTAAAAAACATTTCGATTAAAGGACATGTTTCGGAGCCCTGAAACGCACGATGCGCGATCATCTCACGGCGCCATTCTGGCAGCAACATAACAGTGAATATACCAATACATAGTTTATTTTAATTGGTAACGCAGCGTTTGTTTGTGGCCTCGTAATAGTTTACATTTGACCATTACGTTAATGGAAATTGTCAAATTCTATTGGTCACAGTTATACCAAGGCTTTGGTATTGCGCGAGACATGGTCGCCCATAAAATCTTATGACTAGGACCTTGAAGTGCGATGATATATCTATATATTAATCGCTCAAATTAACCTTATACGCAAATTGCACAAGAGCAGGGATCAGAAACAAATCAGAATCAGGGACTCGGATCATATCTTTTTGGCATGACTTGAATATTTGACAGGATAGAGAATATTCTCCCCAGCACGCCCATAAGGCTTAAAATATATTCGGACCGAAAAAAAAGAAGCGAGTTTAACCGAGCATCAAGCTGTTACGGTGATAGGCACCGTTTGCGTTGAAGAAGCTCTAATGCAACGTCTCCAATATGTTTAGCCTCGACGAAAGGCGTATTGAGCTTATTTTAACTCACCGGATAGAGAAATCTCATGATTATCAGTCAGAGCGACCGTTGTTAATTGTGTCTAATAAACTATAATATAGACTTAGCCTTACAATGTGCTAATTTCTTCAGCACAACTTCATGCACACTTTGCGAACCGCATGGACCTTTCGTTATTCGTTTATTTTACCAGGATTTCCCCCCTCTCCCCCCTCTTGCTATTCCATGCGCAGGTGACGTTCACGAAGCGCAAGTTTGGCCTGATGAAGAAAGCCTACGAACTGAGCGTCCTCTGCGACTGCGAGATTGCGCTCATCATATTCAACTCGACGAACAAGCTCTTCCAATATGCGTCTACGGATATGGACAAAGTTCTACTCAAATACACCGAGTACAATGAACCTCACGAGAGCCGCACAAACAACGACATCGTCGAGGTCTGTTGAAGTCTCAATCTTCTCTTAATATATAATAATTTCATATCTATATATATTATATGCTATGATCGTTTCTGATACGACCCCAAGTAAGTCGACGGCAATGATTATTATTATTTGCAATAGCAAAATGTACCTCGTAAACGCTTTATCTAATTCATCACTATTCGCACAATATTCGTTAATTCACTGGACATGCCCTTCTAATTCACTCAAGTCGTTGTTTAGCCATAGCCCTCATCAACGAATATCTGGAAAAGTTTCCCTAACCCATTTAATCTGTCCATTATCTAATAGCTAGAACAGATGATGATGATTGCAATTCGATTTCTACAGCAAAATCGCGACCTCATTTTACAGTCAACCTTCGCGACTACGAAGTCGCACTCAGAACAATTCGTGAAGTAAACAAAAATCTGTTGTTGAATCAAAAATTACAGCGTCGACCATCATTCAGGCAGCTATCTACCATCACTTCGTTGCTTTCGCTGGTTGTCGCACTGATGTGGCTTTTGACCATTAGGATTTCTTGATCTAAATCCCCCCAATGAGGGCTTGACGTCGGCTCCCTCGCAAGCAGCGCCCTAGTCGAATTAGGTCCCACGTGGCGTTTCGCCACATCCTGATTTAGCTACACGATTCCAAGGTGAGAACACCCAGCTGTTTTCGTGCCCCCGTTGCCAGCAGCCCTTTCGTCGTTCCACGCGATTCACCCGTCCCACTCGATCGCTAGTATTATATACACTGCCAGCCGTGCAGATTTTCTCCATGGCGCCTTCGTTGCCTATCGCTTGAGGTGTTGTAAACTTCTCCAGGAGTTTTCCGACTCCCGACTCCTCCTAAACTCTGTCTCCTTCTCTTCTCTCGCGTGAGCAGACATCACCGGTTGCGTCCCCAAAGCAGAGCCGACAACCTCTGATCCCAGCCGGCCAATGCTTACTTCTATAGCAGAGTTGGTAACTTGCCCCAGAACTGCGGAACTCCAAAATGCCATCATCTGTTGTGCCCATAAATTGATTCCTGCTGCTTCAACCGACCCACGATAGCGATCCATGTCATAGTCTAAACTGGGAACTATTGCTGACGAGGGCAATGGCCAACGGCGGCGCTGAATGCGTGGCCACTTTCGACTTTTGGCTCTTGTCTGCTAGCCGCTGCTGCTAGAGCACAATTCTCCTTTCGTGCGTGGCATCCCAGCGACTTTTTCATACTATTTATGTTGAGAGTTGAGCAGCGTTCTGTAGACGTACCTCAGGTTAGGGTATAGACATAGAGCTGAGGGGAAAGGTCGGACACGAGACGTAGTACGCAACAAGCAGCAGTCAGGGCTGAGTTTGAATCGTCTCTGGGTCTGCCGGATGCATACCCGGGCGAATCTCAGCTGGCGAGAGAAGTCCTTGAGAGTAAGCTGGCCAATTTTGGCATCGTTATTGAGTTTAAACTCATTTGCCCCATTAGATTTGAGCTATGATCTTGGTTAACGGCCAGCCGCATCATGCAATGAATGGCTTGGCTGCCATTTCGGGCAGCTGGGTGAGCAACCTGCCATAGTTACTATAACAACGTGGAGAGTAGTCAACGTTTGGCTCAATCAATGGTCAAAAAAATCGACCGTTACGCACACTTAAAGGTTGCCGCCAACCGGCTCGTCGTCGATGTCGGTTTCACCGTCATCTTTCATGCTGACGGCTGGAGGGGGCATCCCAAAAGGACGAGGGGACCACGAAGCAGTAGACAACACCAGTGGTTATCGAAGAGTTCTTCAAAGAATTACGAATTCATTGAAGGCAGCAGAGACAGATGCGGTAACGACAACGCCGGCCGCGAAATCCTATGGCCAATAGGACGATAAGCTGAAACTTTCAGGCCGGTGGATGGTTTACGATACAAAGTTGACAGAGAACATTTCGGCACATCGATCCCGTCAATAATTAACCCCTTGGCCCCCGTTTGCTATATGACAATGATTTAAGGCAAGAACACCAGCGGCACTAACTTGACATAGCAATAGCTGCATAATAGGCAATATATCAACGGGGGAGAAACGGAAATGAAGCGAAATCATAATGATACCATTATAAATCGTATCGCTGCTGTTGTAGGAACAATATTCGAATTTTGACTTGATGTTTATCCCGGTGGGCCAATAGATAATCTCCCTTTTAGAAGTCCCGTGTTTACGTTTGCGTGGACTCTGTTGATGATGACATATATATTTTAAAAGGAATGCTTAAATACGCTAATGATTGATGAACTGTCGTTTTCAATTAGCGTCGGCCGACGGAGCCGTCTGGCATCGGTCCTCTCAAAGCTTAAAGAGGTCAGCTACGCTACCAGATATCAGTGAAGGACTCTGAAAAGGTGATCCTTAGCAAAGGATCAACAAAACTGGCGACTGTACGACCATGCAGCTTTAGCATCTTCTACTAACTTGTTATTACTAATATTTCTGTGTTAGGTTCAAAACGGGAAAACTTTTTCATTGAGAAGATGCGCCAATGTACGGTAATCATACCCTATACTTTTTTTATTGTCGGAAAAACGTTTGTGCTTCTGTCCGGTTCCGGAAGGGTTTTTCTTACTCTACCTTAGAAAACATCTGACGTGTTAAATTCGCAGTGTTAGATTATGTATCGTAGTCAATTAAAGTAGATCACATAATATATTTGTGTTATAATTGATTGTTCCTGATACCTATTTACAGAAGCATGTTTACTTTATAACGATGTACTCTTGGCCTCAAGTGTTTTGTGCCTCACCATTCCATATAACAAAACGACCCATAGTTAACTCGATTTCTCTGCATTGATTTGTCGCGTACTTTTTTTTTTCGTTCATATGATTTATTTTAGGCTCTAAATAAGAAAGATCATAAAGGCAACCCGGGCTGCTGTGATAGTCCCGACCCGAACGATGATGATGGAAACGTCGGAGCGTACACGATACCGGCACGCCCTCTGGAGACGAGTAACGCCAACAAGCTCGGCCCTGCAAATTACCCCAAACTCAACGAAGATTTCGAGATTATGATGCAGAGAAGCACTTCCGCCACAGCGACGGCGGTCACTTCAGCACAACAAGCACAGTCGCAGCACAACGGAGTCCGGGTGAGTTAGTCGCTACAAAGGTAAGACCTAGCCCAACCGGCCTATTTAAGCAGATAGGCGGTGGTGATGCCAATTTTCCAAAGACCTTATATTGATAGATTACCCACAGCATGTCGGAAGGTCCATTAAAATATTGTTCATTTTTGGAAACATTTTTAAGCTGTTCCCCCATTTCACTCTCCGAGATTACGGAATACTTCTCAAGAGAAGTATCTTCAATTCTCATCCGACACACACATACAATATATATATATATATATATATATATATATATATATTGTAATCGTTCTCCTACTGCAGGATTCAACGTCTCCATTTCACGGACAATCGTTAAGTGTGAGCAACGGACCGTTGAACGGGATGTACTCACAGGACTCGCTAATGCAGCCCTCGCCGACACAAATGTCGCAGAGCAGCATCAGCCCGAGACCAAGCTCAACTGGAGGTATGTCCAGCTGGAATAATATCTTCCTACTACATGTTCATTTACCTATAAATTTGTAATGCATAATAAAAAGTGCAGTCATGATAAGACTCATCTGACCTTCAAATGATGAGAGCTTTGAAGTCGGTGAGCTGTGACATCAGCTAGGATCATACCTTGTTTTATAGATGTAAGGCGTTGTCATGTTCCACCTTACATCGTGTACGTCTGTGCGTTTCCTGTGATCGTGCTAAATACAAAAAAAAAAAAAAATCTATTGAAATTTTCTTTGACAGCACTCATTAATCTATACAAAGAACTGAGATGACAACAAATGCTTATTGGTTATATATATCATATGTATATGATATCAATCTCCGACTTTTTCTGGGTTAGAGCTATAGGATTGCCTTTCTTTTTGAATATGACACAATCGAGTAGGTCCTTCTAACGTTGTTGGCCCCTTTTCGTTCATCTTCTCGACTATTCATCTGCCCAAAACGACGGTTCACACCACAATAATACTCATTATCAACAATATCGCTATCGTCGGCTATCATCCGGGTTATCATTGTCCACCACTTCAGCGGGCGGTGAAAATGGCTTGAGTGCGTACCAGCGCGCGGCATCCCCTGGCAATAGCGGGAGCAGCAGTCTGGCAGGCCCGCCGGTAGTGCAACCGGCCGCCGTACAGGGTGTCGGTAGCAGCCAGCAAGCGGTGTCACCCAAACCGAGGTCCCCGCAATGCAAGAACCTGCGCGTCATGGTACCGCTGCACCAGACGAATTGTAACTCACCCTCGCCCAACCCTAGTCAACCGATGGAACCAGGCGTCGTGGGAGGCGTCGGCGGTCAGCTCTATCTTTCATCGCAAGGCACAGGCATGGTGCGAGGCGGGGCAATAGCCACACCCGTCGTATCGGTAACGGGCCCGAATGGCCTGGCGCTTTCGGGATATCCACCCGCCTTCCAGGGCTTATCTCCCAGTACGTATTTTTCTAGCATGGACCGATTCTCCGCTTGCTTTGCTGCTTCGCCACAACGTCTGATTATTTTGTTCAACGACGGTACTGCGATAACAGCACATTTATATGCAATATCTATTTTTAATCATTTTAGATATAAGTATAGACAAGCAGAAATGTCAGAAACGAACGGCTCATCAATGTCCTATCTCATTATGCTGGTCGTTACCTGATCATGTCCGAACATACTGGACACGTAACAAAAATCCACGGACGTGTTAGCTGATCATCCATGCTACGTACCTATTTCTCCTGAGGTTGAGATGGAATGAATTCGACCTATAACTGTCATTAATTTACTTCGCTTAACTTTCAAGATGTTTCATGTGCGATCAATAAGTGCTGAATACCCTATTCTGCAGGCAAACATCTCATTAGATTTTCGCCAAGTCAGATTGTTTCTACTGTATTGATCTGAGCTGTTTCTATAGGGTGTTTCATTGTGCCGTCACTGGGCCATGTTGAACTAAATCCAACACTTGCCCTCGATGGGCGTTAGCAGTACCAAGACACAGTAACGATATAGCAATCATTTCCACCATGAAAATTCGTGCTATAAATGTAGGATAAAATCAAAAATTCTGCATGCTGTACGTAGCGTGATCAACATTGGGCAGTAAGTAAGCGCAGCTAAGTACTTGAGTACGAACTTTAGCTAACTTCCAAAGGGCAAACTGTCGCAGCGAAATGCAAGAAGGATATAGCGTTAACTTTTGTTACGAGGGTGCAGCTTGACCTGCTTCTATCTAGCGCCCTGGGACGGTCGAGAGCTTCTTCAGGGTCAGTTGCCCTTTGACAGTTTGTCCATTCAAATTTGAGCAGCAACATTAAATAGAGTCCTATTTACCACAAACGACTCAGATTTGGAGCCCATAGAACACCCTGTAAAAACACATACGATAATTCGGAGATTGTACCTTGCACGAACTTCGGCTTACGCTCGGCTTCGGTTGGCCTTATAGAACCTGATATAGTACGTCGAAAACTTAACGTTTTCGGCATAACCGACCCACAGGTGAGTTTCCTATCAGTTCGGACATATCAGCGTTATCAGCGTCGGGCTTTAACGGCAGCCTCCTGCACGGCTGGTCCGGTCAGGGAAGCCATCTCGAAGCGAGTCCGATACAAGGACACCATTTGAACAGTGCCTCCGGATCCCCAGAACCGCCACTCTCACCCAATATGCGGATAAAATCTGAACCCATATCACCGCCCAGGTATGTAACAAAGATATGCGAATATAATTTATGTGCGCAGGGTCAATTATGGCTAGCAGACACGATGAACGATGACAATAATGGAATACTTTAAAACTTTTCCAGCGATTAGCGACTTTGTTATATGCAAATTTACTGTCGAAAAGTAAATGCGGACCATTTTTTACCCGTTATCGGCTTAGACCTCGATAGATGACCAGCAGGCCAAGTATCGTTGATTGTTTTACTTCCGCGTCCAATAGACCTACACATTCTTTACCCTTCTCCATGTTGTGCTATGCCACAGCATTTATTGATTTCAATTGATCGATTAACACAATATATCTATGTCCATCTCCGCTTATTATTCTAGATCAGTTCATCAAGGCGGTGCAACGGATTACTCTGGCGGACACGTCGATTCATCCGTGCCCCCGCTCAAGAGAACGCGCCTTACTGCCGACAACTGGCCCGCGGCTGCTACCTAATCAGTCACTGTTCACCAGAGGACCAATAACGTACTATTATCTATGTCTCGTTCTATATTCGCAAATCGTTGTACACAGAGAATGAATTGAGGAAACAATATTGAAATGTTAAAAACATACGCCACGTTTCGAGGAAAACTAACAAGACGACGATGACCACAGAAGGCATCAACCAAGTCTATTTAGCTCAAATCTATTGCTGATGATTCAGATATGACGGGGGTTCGCTAGAAGCAGGAAGAACGTCACATGGAACTCGAGCGGGGCGGTTACCAGCAGCCATATGCGGGGTCCGAAGCCAAAGACTCACCGATAGGCCTTCATCTTCATGTCGCGATTGTTCGATTACTAGAAGATGAAACATTTGTTTGCAACTTCACGACGCCACGACTGCAGCCGCCTGATGACAGTTTAAGATGGAAGCTCGTACGTCTGAGCCTCATTCCTGTCGACATGAATAATATAAACTAAACTGACCCGCATTGGTTGCTAGTCTTGCCCCGGTTTATGGTTTGATCTCGGTCTAGCGAACGTCGAATGCAGCGCTGCTACAACTCGCAATTGAGTCCGGTAGCAGCAGCAGCAGTAGCAGCGGCATTGAAGAAGCAACGTGCGACCCACTGTGCGTCCCAGAGTAACGGGTGATGACGACCCATCGTACAGCGTCAGGTGCACAGTGAAGGCACGCCAAAAGGAAACCACATTGTATAGTGCACTGTGTCGACACGTATATATATATATATATAGAGAGAGAGAGCGAGAGAGAAGACAACGGAGAGAGAGAGAGAGAGAGAGAGAGAGAGAGAGAGAGAGAGAGAGAGAGCAAGGAAGCATGGTGACGAAACACATAGAGTGTGGCGGAAATTGAACACGAAAGAAGACAAGACGAGTTGAGAAATCGATCGTACGCAAAAATCAACTATCGTTCATATACGAATATACCCACGCATGAATACACGTGAGCACACATACGCATCTTGTACAATAGTTGACTGATGACTTGTGGTTGCGCTGGAATAGTAAACGTGCTAGAGCGACGCGAGAGAAAATTGCAGTAGTGGCTAAGAATTGAGGATGAAACCCTGATAGAAAAATCGAACTTCAAAGACAGAACGACAGCACACGACTTCGTACGCTGAATTTGCAACACGTATAATATCGACCCAGACGATTGAATAGTAGGGAAGAAAAATTTCGAGGAAAGTGATCAATATGGTAAGATCAGAAGCAGCCCAACGCGGCGTGAAACTTGTACGCGATTTGCACTTGTGGAAAAAAGGATGATCAGGACTGAAAGGCGGAAGCAACTCAAGTACCCGAAACAAACCAGAAGCGAGAGCAGAATGAACCGGAAGAAGTCGCAAGCCAAGTTGAATATGTTTAAATATAATTATAAATAAATATATACATAATAGTTGAGGTGTGAGGTGGGCAGGGGTCGAGTCTCCTGGTAGTTGAAAGCTGCTGCGTAAGACATAGCGTACATGCTTATGTTTAGCATAGAGAAAACAAGCAGGCTGGGCGGACGATGTCTCACGAAAATACTTAATCGGACTAACGGCAATGATAGCAGGGTTGATTTACAACCCAAACAACAGAATGTAGCATATATAAGAACAAAGCTGTGAATGCCACTATTCCATATCAGATAACAGTGGCCCACGCCAAAATCAAGGACCAAGCCACAGCGGAGGACACCGCTCTATACCTAGCTAAGGAAAACTCCGACGGTCCGCAGTCAGCGTTGCTTTCTGTCAAAAAAAAGGGCACGGACCGTCCGTAGCAAGGAGCGTTAAGTAAAAAAAAGAAAAAGGTAGCCAAAAAGGAGGATCTGATCGCATCAGTGGATAGAAAGCCGAGGTATTCAGAATTCATCATGGATCAGATTATACCGGCGACATCTCAATATTCGATAGTAGTTTTAGTGCGTTTGTCGACGATGATTTGTATCGCTCGTCGAGCTTTCCCCTCGATTAATAGACGAAGCTGCCCAAGAGACAGCGAACGGGAAAAGAGCAATGCAAAATGCTGGAAGGAAAAAACATTTCAATAGAGAAGTATAGTGTGACACTGTTGAATTACGCATCTCCGCGTCCATGTACAAGTCAAACCAATTAACCAAACCCTATAAGAACGTAACCACATAAGCGAACATATATTTTCATGAGTGTTTCATACACCTGTGTACCTGTACTTTAATATATTATTACTATGTATTTGTTGTTTACTTAGTCCTAATAATAATATATATATATAATAAATGATAACGACAATGGTAATGGCATGATCATGAAAAGGAGAAACCTCTAATAAGAGGAATCGCATATATATATATATACAAAGCGACCGATCGTGTAACACTGACAGTATGAGAATTGAACATGGAAACAACAATATCAGAGAAATAATGATAATATATGGTTTGCCGATAATACTTACAGATGAGATGTTATATATATAACATATATACATATGTGTGTGTATGGCGTATCTTGACAATACCGAAAAGACTATGATGATCGACAGTATCCTACAAAAAGCGTATTTGGCCAAAAATTTCTCGAGTAACTTAGGCGACGATCAATCGCGTTTCGAGCAAACTTTCCATAATATCTGCCGACTGCGATTGCCGATTGTAACTTCCTCTGGACAGTAACGGTAATAAGAAGCAAGCCTTGCGGTCGACAGAAAAATGTTTGTGGAAGAAAGAACAGCTTTAGTGAGGTCAATAGCCAAGTAATAAAAAACAAGCGTGCAAAGCTGAGTGGCCAAAACGAAGCTTACTACCCTTTATTGGATTAGCCGGGTTGCGTGAGGACTCATATGCCTACTCGATTTTTGAGAGAAACAATTGGGTTAGCAACATTGCAGAGCCTTACGAAGAACTTAGAAGTGAGGTGTCAAGCTCCGTTCGATATGTCATCGTTCAATAAGATATCGAGGGTGACGCTGGCCTACAGTGGGCCAAGATAGTGAGACAAGGATACAAAGCAAGAAATGTCGGCGGGTCAAGGAAATATTGAAATAGCGGATGCAGAAGTAGAATGTTTAAGTCGTTCTCCGACAAAATTATTTGTAGATGAAAAAAATCGATGGATTTATTGATAAATAAATAGTGGTTAGCTAGTCGCGACGCATCCAAATATAGCGCCGAACTGAGATACGCAATTATTGCCGGGTACAACATGGGTACAGAAATACGTTGAAGGTAAGTGCTACTCGTAAAAAAAACAGCATTGGACAGCACCATGGGGAAGGCTGGCGAACACCAAAAACCGAGTGCTGAACAGATGCGCTAGCCGTGACGCATGACAGCGGTACTAACAATGGCAAATGATAAACAATCCGGAAACAAGCTATAGTTCAGGAAGACCTATATATTAGCAAACAAAAAATAACACTAGCACTTGTGTCCAATGGTAGGCGGCCCGTTTCGCGCAGTGTTTTCCACAGATAATGCACCGTCTTTCCTGAGGTAGTCTCCATCGAAAGGCAGGCGGCACACCTATTCACAGCCTGGAAAGAGTTCGCGCAGGTGGAGGCAAATGATTCGGTACCACTTTCACTGTCTATTTATTCTCTCGGTCCGGTAAGCCACCTGTAACCTGCACGCTTAGCACGCCATTAGTTGACGTTCAAGCTGGTCTATCCAGTCGACCCATTTGGGTCATCCCAGGGAGAATATTGTTTCGTCTTTCGGATCTTGAAAGCCCTGAACTTGGTACATTTGTTGTCCACCATCCATCCGACCACACGATTGTTTTGCGTGGAACTTGTGTACGAAAATATCTTAGACAGTAACTGCTATCCGGGAAATTAGCCCAATTGGTGATCTCCATTCGGCCAACTTGAAACATGAAATTTTTAAGCACATGCGCACCTTAGCATATCGCTGTGTTATGTTAACTGAGCGCTCAAAAACGTAGAATCTATATATATATATATTATATATATATATAATAGTACAATTGATAAATTGAAGCAACTTCTCGAGCGACGCGTACCTACGAACTGTTTATTAAGAGAATATTAGGTCGATGCTAAGCACGTTAGTATAATCATACGAATGTATTTGTGATCGTGAAGGTGATACCCTCGTACTGAAAAAATACTTGTAAGACAGCCAAGGTCAATATTAAGCATTATTACCACATTACTATTAGTATCACTGTTATTCAAAACGTGAGCGCGTAGAGCTCTGCAGCTTTGCGGCCAGCCTAAGAGCCATCTTAGCAGGGGTCAGGTAGGACGTATTACTGGGGGGCGACTGGCCAAGACGAATACAAATATAAAATCGAATCGTAGATAAGCATCAAGAGATTTTATATGCATGTAGTGATCGAGGTTTTCCAAATGGGAACAGACGATCCAAAATATCGAGGTGGGGATGAGAAAGCAAGCAGATCTGGCCGGACCAACGGACTATGTGCTTTGACGTCTCAGTAAGCCGAACTCAGCAGCATGTTGAATGAATTGTTTCTACATAAGGACAAAGATAGAAATTGACTTGTTGGAGACATTTTTAGCGTTATCAATCGATGGCATGGAACTCACGCCATTTCTTCACCGAGCACTTAACATACCTCAAGTGATCACACGCATTTTGTCAGCGAGACAAGTGCTGAATAAATCCGTGACTGGAACGAGCCGATTTGGAAAAATTGTAGTAAAAAATTGCCAGGCGCGTTTAGAGAGACACGTCAAATAGTAATCACGGGCAGCAAATTGGCGTAGACAGTGTTGATGATAATGAAAATAATCAGTAGCACTTAGGTGGCGTACGGATTAGTATTTTCCTAGCTGTTCTCTCTTAAAGAAGCGCTTGCTTTTTTTTTTAGCAATGGTATTGGTGTCAATGCACGTACGTCGTCTTTTCGTACGAACAAACAGGCACGATTTTTCAAGTACGGATGACTAGACTAGTCAACATTAGTCCGAATCAAAGTCAGCTATAGACACAGATTTACACAGAATTCATATATATATATATATATATATATATACAAAGACAAACACAAAACACACAGAAGCACCTGGATGCAAATGTTCACTTGCAGTCTCGTACGCTTGCATGGCGACGTCACTATACAGCTTTATCCTCTATTTTACGGCACAAAACGTAACAAGTTCACATTACACACGTAGAGTATTTTTCGACACGTTATAGAAGAACAGAGGCAGGGGAACAAAGTGAACGAAAGAAAGAGTTTTTGCACTTTTCCCTTTCTGTCCCTCTGTTCTGTGAAGGTACGACGGTACAAGTAGAATTCGAAGACGTAGACGTAGACAATTCACACATTCATTGTCTGATACGCCGACTAACGGAGAAAATACCACCTCCTTTTCGTGACACGCAGCTTTACTATATTTATAAACATTATACCGAACCACCGCAACTCAATTACTATGACCACACTAGTACAAAGCATGAAAGCAAAGGGCTCGAAACTTTCTGATAAAAGTCTTATTGCTTCCCCACACTTGCTATGACCTATCGACCCGAACTGCTCGACGCGTCCGAACGTTCACTCGTACACGATTCCATATTCTATGGCTAGTATACCTACTTGCTACTGACTAATACGACAGGTCGCGTTACAGACAAAACGCTCTATCCATCAGATGAATTTCTATAAAAGTGGTAGTTATGACGCGGCCGGCCATTCAATCAGCTGGATGTCCTATGTGTCATTTAACACTGCCGGTCGACAGAAAACCTATAAAAAATGTTCGATAGTTTTCCACGAAAATTTTTGCAAGATAGATATTATATACATATGTAATAGAGATGACAACAACTGCAGAAGACTAGGCCGATAGGACTTTAAACAAACGAAAACGCAAAAAGGAAAACGACAACAAACAAGCATAGCCCAATAAGATTCCTATAAAACACATGGAGCAGAAACGAGGCCCAGTGCGGAAATGTAACACAAATGTAAATCAAACACTCTCTCAAATCGATCTTGAATGATTTATTCCCGCAGGAAAAATAAATGCACACATGAAAGTCCATCCCGGCCCAGGCTTTTTTGACGGATTCCAACGGTTCAACCGAAAGACCCTATAACGTTCTCTATAACGGCCGCTTCAACTCCTATGACAAGCGCTATACAATTATATAGCGCTATATAGAAAATAATAGCTCTGCGAGGAAAATCAGCCTGCAGATTAAGTGAAATAATAAAAAAATGGATGAATATATCCACTATATTATCTATAATTACGACGATAATAGTAGTAGTAATAATGAGGTAACAAGTGGTAATTGAGTGTCAGAGCCAGCAGGAATGAAAAACACAATATATATGGTAAATATAGATAACTGTAGCACTACACAAAATACGTATTGCCACTTAACAGGCGACGATGAAGAACTAAAATATAAAAATATTACTAACTATAATAATTACAGTGGTAAAATAACATGAGCTATGGTTGATATATTTTGCAAACAAACGAACGACCGGGACGACAAAATTGTGGACAAACAATGCTCACAAGCTAATCAAACCCGCCTAGAGAAATAGTCAAAATCGCATAGAAAATGTGTGTATATGATATGGAAGCTAGCAATAACGGCAGAATTTTCCAATTAGGCAAATGCTCGATAAGGAGTGAAAATTGTTGCGACAATTAGAGAGCTTACGAAAATACGACATTGCGAGTAATGTTATTTTTCGATTAAAAACACAAAAAAATTCGCAAACATTTCCTAAAGACAAATTAATATTTAACAAAAAAAGCAATAGCACTCCATATAGACAAACGCAAGCAGAACTATTTCTATATATAGAAACATCATATACATTAACATAAGTGTACAAACTGACATCTGATTAGATAACGACTTCATATAGGACGAATATCAAAGAACGCGACAGAATTCTAGAAAGACCAACCGATAACAACAATGAGGAAGGGTGTAACTAAGTCTGCTAGCAAACTGACTCTCTCGGACGTAACTTTCAACTTAAAAGTTCCCTTCGCTCACAGTGCCTGACAATGCGCGAATAATTTCCAGCTGACCTTATAAATGAAATGACGATGATCATGTTGATATTGGTGGCGATGAATAGAAGCAATGGTGCGAGAGAGATAGCAGGAAACGTCGTTATTATCAGATTATAATAGCGACAGTATATAATTAGTAGGCGTAGTTAAAGACTATTATAATGGTGACAATAACGTTCTTGACTTATTTAGACAGTCTCTTCCTTGAAGGGGAAGGTGTTTTGTAAGGCAAATCAATTAGCGGCTAAAGATATTGACAGCCGCCCACGAGATCTCTCCGACATGGACGAAACGGCACCATTACTTGCACTAGACGTTTGGGAAACACATATCTGTGAGTGATTTTCGCTTTGGTCGTGATCGTTTGTTGGGATTTTACGAGCCTCGTTTGATTAATTACTGACTGTTACTCTATTGGTACTATAATTGAAGACGTTGATATCTTTTCCAGTTCACCGCTCCGCCATACATATATATATATATATATATATATATATATATATATATGTACGGTTAAATTTTAACTCACCTTTTCATGTCTGTTGGTTTAGGTTTTAACAAAACAGATTATTTCATTTCTTCGTCATAAACTGGCGGCTCGAAAGCAAGCGACACAGAAGAAGAACCATTAGGCAAAACGCTTGAAGAAAAAACGGCGACATGCTAGCTTATATTAACTCTAAAACTTTGAAGAGCGCCCCCTGTTCAATTTCGAATGACCTTATTCATTTTTTTTTTATGTCTTCTTATGTACATTTTTCGCTATGTTGGGTCGAAAAAAAAGTTGTCTCCACCAGAAGCGATCCCCTCCATCGACTCAAACACGGTTCATAAGCAAAGGCGTAGAGCTGTGAAAGAAGTTGCTTATGACCACTGAAGGAAATGGGTGGCACCCGTTGTGAATCTTGTCCGCAACAGTTCACCGGATGCGGTGTCATTTTGTTGACACTCTTGTATTGCTCTTTGCGACATCAGTGAAAGCACTAAACACAGCGGATTAATACCAATAGCTCCACGCTGAATGGCAGAGCATAGGAAAGGACGTGTGGCTATAACTGTAAGTGTAATTGTATTTATATTAATATGTGTTACTATGATTGTATCTCTATAATGGCTATGGCGATGACAAGACTAAACATGGGTACCCAATGTGGAGTTATGTAAAGACTGATAGATATGACACAGACAAAACAATGATACTGATTATATGAACATACATGAACATAACAATACATGAGTGAAGGAAGGAAACTAGAGTCAGATACTATGTTGTGATGACGCTGATTATATATATATATATATATATATATATATATATATATATATATATTCTGATAATAATGTAATAATTGTACTTATTATTTTGTTTGGCCGCGTCCCAGAGACGCTCCACCATCCGACGACGCTAATTCATGCCGCGCCCCATCGACCTCCAACCGAATGCAGAGAAACGAATCTATGATGCTGGCTGCAGAGGGGCGACAGACTAGAAAAGCATAAATGGTAGGAAGATTTATGAAAAATGATAATAGTAACGACTCGAATCGTTCACGCGCATAAACAGTACACATGAATGATGGTGATAATGGTAAACATGACGGCATAACATGGATCATGAAGGGTTCATAACGGAAACAGTGATGCTATACCTTGGGAGGTATTGTGATCGACAGCTGAACATGTGAAGTTACGAAATACAAGGGACGGTGACGGCGGAACAGGACCGTGTCGATAATGATGTTAAAACAGGCATACACACATACATTAGGCAGAAAGTGGGAAAGGGTTTACGAAGTGATATTAAGCACATCACGCAGAACAAGGGCGAAACAAAGAATTGATGATAAAAGATACGCCGGTAATGGAGGAGCATGATGGTATGTAATATCGGGGACATTGATTGGTAAAAGGGATAAAATGAATCGGTTCGGTAATCTGAAATTTTCTTGAATTGGTGGAGGACAGGTCGGAAGTAGCGTGTGTCGTCTTCCGCGTCTCGTTTTTTTCCAATGACAAAGCGGTTCTGTTCCCGTTCTCAACATCGGGACAGCATTGATCGTAGCAAAAAAGGACAACCGAACAGAAATGTGATTAAAAAATCGCTGGACAGTGTAAAGAGCAAAAGTAAGGCCCGCCTAATTGCCGTCGTCTAATACGAACGAGAGAGGAATCGGCGTTGAATCGAACACCTTGCTTGTCCCGCCGATCGACGCGCCCCCCCAGTGTGGCTCGTGAGCGTCCTTCGTCTGTGTCCGTCTACGCCGTAGATGCGAATGCCGCCGCTGGCTCCGTTCACTCGTGTCCCTGACCAGTATGCGACGACCAAAACGTGGTCGGAAAGCATTGGCAAGAAAGTGTTCATTCGCACGACGGCGCAGGCTTCATCTGTACAAAGAAAGCACCGCCTTGAACTGAACAAGGCAGCCTAGTTTCTCTATTCTACAAGTCACATATTCAATATAACCAATCCTCTTTGTCTCAACAACAACAACAATAAATCGATTTCAGTTGTCATTAATGTAGGACTATACGTGTTTTTATTCTTATAGCGAAGAGAAGTTTGCTTCGGCGATCATTTTTCATTGCACGAGTCACTATGCTTTTTCTACGGGTAGAGAATGTAAAAAGAGGTTTGAGCAGCTCGACACGAAAAGCAAGAGGAGCAGAGTTTAAAAGTGGAATTGGGAGTTTCTCTAGCGGGTCCCATTATCTTGGCAAGAGCGATTCCTTACGCTAGACGTACTTATGGCCCAAAGCATTCGGCGATGCTTTCAATAATCATGCCCGGCCAAGACCTAAGATCTGATATTCGGTTTCTTTAGGCAAAATTCAAACGTGTGCTTTCTTCCAACGTTGGCACCGTCTAGGTACAAAACGAAGGTAGACATTAATCTTAACGACACGAACTTGCTATGTAATGCTTTATTTTAGCGGTGGTAATTACATATCAATCGGTTTTCAGAGCTCCTCTTGACTTGGCATTCGCGCCACAAACGATGAGAAGAGGGTTGGACAACTTCAAACGCAAGTGGGCACACTAATCAAATCCGTCGACAGAGCGAGAACCAATAAAATGGGAGCAAACCGCTCAACGCAAGACATTTTCGACCGCAACGGAGGGTTTAGACAAATGTTGTTGTCTATATATAGTGAAAAACTGTAATGCAGGTAAGCCCAAGAAAAAATCGATCATCTTAAACTCTAAACACAGGCCGGCCTAGTTCTGTCTATAGGATGCCAGAAGATACAGGCTGTAGACTGGAGGCATTCCATCGGATAGCTTAGTCCAAATAATAGCAAATAAAGCGTTACGAGACGAATCTTCACAGAAGACTAGTCGAAGGTTCAGGCGACAAATAACAGCGCACTATTCTGCTGTATCCAAAAGAGAAAAAGGAAATTGCCACTTGGCCAGTTTTCTCGGTAGCTGTTTAAGATTCGTGAAACGTTTTTAATTTTTCAAGTTCTGTACAAAAATGAGCAAAATTGGATTTTGGAAATAAAAGTAATTTCTTCATTCTATGCTGTGTATCCGAATATCGACTTCTCTGTATTGATCTCTTAACCTTAGCAAAAATTAAGGAAGAATTGACTTCAGTTTCATCTTGGGAGAATAGATCAGCAATGATAACCCATTGTGAAATGATTGCCACAGGAGCACGGGACACCTGTTAGAGCGTCGAAGGGTGACGTCGAAATCACAAAAGAGAATTATTCGAATCAGAGTAGAAAGACTACTAAAGCAATGTGATCAATTTCTTAGAATAGCTAAGGAACGAATTCATTAACGTAACTCGATAATCGCAATGGGTTTTGAAATACATAGATGTTTCGGGGTTTACGTTTTGCAGTGCCGCTGAACATTAGTTCAGGTGGTTGGCACTCGGTATGAGACGAAAGGTGTTTTCCTCTAGTTTACAACATAGACCATTCGTTATTATGTATATAACTAGTTCGATTTCAGAATTAACATTCAAGCAAGCAAAATTAAAGTACCGCTAGGTTGGACTAGGAAAATAACAGATCGTGTTGGACACTATCTGGTACGTATCAGTCCTATTCAGGTTTTTAGTCACACCCGAATCAAATCGAATGCGCATGAGTTCCACGGAAGAAAAATGAAATTAACACATGCTCATATCTGACACACAATGGAATCTTCAATTAGAAAGCAAAATAAGAAAAAACAAATCATTCGATAAATCGTTTGCTAGTTATTATTTTGCTTATTTGTTAGAATGGAAAAATCCACGGAGTCCAATCGCCCTCAGCGGTTCAAACAAAAAAGTTCGTCAATAGATCATCATTTCATTCTACTCATTAACCGATGTGTTTTGATCTGCATGAAAATGCATTCATACAGCTCAATTCGAAATGGACCAAAACCCGCTTAAGTGAACTTTCTAAAAACAAGTTCGCGTTCGATGCTTCGTGTTGCACGAAACTTAAATAAAAATAGTGAATATTTCTGAGTTATTGTCGATTACTAAGTGAAAGAAAAATTCTTCAAGAAAAAGTGTTTAGCTTTTTTTCTTTCTAACGACGAAATACTGGCCAAGATACTTTTAAATAATTTCGCGAAGTGTTTTTGTGAGCCGCATATACATTTTAAAGGGAGGTAATTAACGTGATTACAGCAAATCCAATATCCAAAGCAAATAATTGAATCTTTTGTTGTGTTTCTATAGAATTTAAGTTGAATATATGTGCATTTTTTTTCCAGATAACAATGGGTAATGAGACACCTGCCATAAGATGCCCGCGCTCCGGCCGACGTAAGCGAACTCCGTTTGTACAACCAATCATGCTTGAAAAATGACACTAAACTTAGTTCCTTCTTGCTGCAATCAATATGTAGATATAAAATGTTTAATTACAAAAGCTGTTATTACATAAGTTGCTGCATTTAAATGCAGTCGCTATGTATAATACAAACTAACACTACTACGTTCAACTGTTTTTATCGCTTTATAGTCTTGACGCCTGAATCGTTGTACTACTGGAAACTGAAGAAAACACTGACAACCCTCTTGTCATCTGACGATGATGATCCTGTTACGGAGACACCAATTAGAGAAAGACAAACAAAAATAGAAATGAAGCTAGAAATGGTGGGTTATAAGCTTTTCCGTTATTTTAGAATCATATGACGATGATTCAATAATCGTGAACTGGTTTTTCTTAGTCACGTGTCCAAACACATCTACTTATCCAGCTCTGGATGTATATAGGCGACATAGGCATAGGTAAAAATCATTAGGCTTTTAAATCCTAACGGAGTCTTTAAGATGTACCTTCCAAAAACCGAATTGCTTACATAGCTAATTTTGGGTATAGCCAATGAGGCACCGAGGAAAATTTCTCATATCTTTGTAATTGAATGACAAAATTTATAGGTTAATTGTTTTAAATTTTATCCGTGTGATAAAATCTATCGGCTCTCAGGTAACTACTGCATCCAAGGATTATCCAAATGACAAAAATGGGCGTGCGCAATCACGAAGTCACATCAGTAGAACTGAAAACGCCAAAAGGAATCCACACGAAAATGATAAAAAAAATCGAAAAATGCCAATATCAACCGAAAAGACAAGGATAGATGGTACTAATCGCGGGTTAAAGCCACGAGATACATCCACCGGGCTCATAGGTAACCGCCATAACAATATCAGCAGTGCGAAGGATAACCCTGAAGCAACTCCCTCTTCCTCAAAAAACAACGCCAATCAGAAGATCGAGGGCGCTTTGGCATATGCTAATGGCCATTTATCATGGAATTCGAAATGCAATGAGCACACAATGGCTAAGGAAGTGGAGCCTTCGCTAAATGTCGATTGTACCCGTGTCGAACCTATTCTTGGAGGCAAGAAACCGAGACTTAGAAGGGTATATATGCTATAAATAGGAAAAGTTATGTACCGATTCGATCCTGTGTGTGGATCTTCGAGGTGATATAGCTGAAGCGCTATGTAGGTCCGGTTCGTTAATGATTTGGTCCGGTACGTTTCAGATTCAATTTACAGATGTCTATGAGGATTCGAATGATTCAATAGGTAAGCATGGAAAGAGTTCAGAGAAACCTACGTCTGCCTCAGACTTGTCAACTTCTATTATTCACACTCCACGAAGCCGAGCTATCCAGGTAATGTGTGACAAGTCGAGTTTAATCTGCCATATCATTATGATTATTATTCAGTATTAAGAAAAACATGTTTATGCGACGTAGATGAAGTCACAAAGATTATAATGTGACCTTTGATAAAATGTCAATTAATGACGTTAGGTTTCTTCTTAGATGCGCATTGAAACATCTTCCGAAGACGAACAGTATGCCACATCATCATATAATACGGACGAAGCGGAAGTGCTTTCGCCTGTATTAGCTAAAGCCACACACGCAAGTGCATCTGCAGGTTCGTCTAAGTCATCCTCATCTATACAATTTGGTCAAGAAAACACCGTTAACAAAAAAGATTATTGCTGCAGTGTGATTGAAATTAGTTCAGATGATGACAGTTTCCAGTTACCTGCCAATCGGTTCAAAAGCCCAGAATTTAGCCAAAAACGAACGAAGACTTCAACCGAGTCTCAGATTTTCTCTGCACCACCTGTCACTCCTGCCACTTTGAAAGGTCCTAGAATGGGAAAGCGACTTGCCGTCACAGAACCTCAGGTATACTTATATCTTTTCCTTAAGTGTTTTCTTTATGATTTTGTGTTGCAGTTAGCGTTTTAGCTAACCAAATATCAGCAAGAAATACTGTGCAAAAGAAAGCACGCATAGACAAACATATCCAGGTCATTTATGATCACTTTATGTATTCAATGGCAAATCTGCATATGCGATCAAATATGGTAGATTAGGCCGAATTTGTTTTATCGGTGTTTATTACAGAAACGTCAGAAAAAGACGTCGACTCAAAAAGAGGAACCGGTTACAGAACGGAAAAGATCTGTGAAAATCAACAGACAGTCAGAATCTGATAATGAAAGCTTTGATGCGCTGCTTAGTGAACTGAGAAATTGTAAACTTCGCGACGACAAGTGTAACAAAACTCAAGTATGCTTTGGCTAATTGAACATAAGTATTTTTTTGAAGTCTAAAACTGGAACGATACGCTTCTTATTTAGCATATAACTTGAGAAAAGCTTGCATGAAAATAAACCTTTCTAAGCAACTAGAATTCATAAAGATATTGATTTTACCCACATGCATGAGAAAAAATCTATTAATGAAAACCTTCAGAATAAAAAGAACGAATACAAGCAGATTGAACCACTTTTGAGTCAAGAAGGGAGGAATCACATTCTAATTGAATGTATTGCATCCCAGCGAAATACTTTAGTAATAATATACTTGTAACAACACATATTAAAAAATTGAAGGGCATGGTTACATAAGTTGCTACACTAATACCTCATTGTTGGCATGTCCAAGGTATCCTGACACGCGAAAAAAATAACCAAACGATTTAATCAAATCTTGCTGTTTTCAGTAATGTTTATTATTTTCTTCTAGCAGCCAAGTTCAATCCATTTTGGTAGTTAAATGTAAACAGTTGATAACGTGAAACATTGAGAAATGTAATACCTAATAAACATTGGTTATTCAACCATGTGCCTACGTTCTTTATCTCTTGGGCAATTGGCAGAATATAATCTGAGTATTATACTTGATTAAAAATGTTACTTTTTTTATATTCTTCATATTAATCGTTTAGGCGGACCCCAATGACACTTTAGCCCGATGGGAAAGTTCGAATAAGGATGACCGTCATTTTCTAGCGTCGTTGTCAGAAGAAATCCCTCTAGAAGGCTGTCACCCTAACGCGGCTTATTATCGTCGGCAGAGTTTTAACACAATTCGACACGAACTCACAGAGAAACTGTATGAGGTATTATATTAAAAGCCGCCTGAACTCAACGGTCTATCTGTTCACGTGAACCAAGTATAGTACTATAATGGCATACAAACTGATTGAACCCGTAGGTGCTATATAAATAAGGTAATGTACGTTGTCACATCTTATTTGGATTTGAAATTTTCGTGTTTACTCAAATTATGTCAGTGTGTTTTCGAGTGAGATAATATCCTAATACATTTTGTGTCTCGGGACTTAAATCGTAAATTTACCAGTGTCTTTCTGTTTGTATAATGTATGTAACACTTCAGTTGTTTCATCGAATCATATTCCAAAATCGCTTCGTAGAGCGGTTGCCGGTATCTTGGAATAATCGCCTGTTGACGACTGCCGGATGGTGCATCTGTAAAAAGCATTTAGATGGCACAAAGTACTCAGAAATAGAGCTGAGTACGAAAGTTCTGGATCGTCCAGATCGTTTACGAGACACATTAGTGCATGAGATGTGTCATGCAGGTGCGTGGATCATCCACGGTTATAAAGGAGACCATGGACCACTTTTTAACTTTTGGGGTCAACGCGCAGGAGAACTCCTTGGGTTGAAAGTGACCACGTGCCATTCGTACGCCGTCGAGAAGAGATATGTATATAAGTAGGTATTAATTATTTTAACACCCAAATATTAATCTGTGTCGCTAGCGAAGAACAATCAAATCGTACAGTATAACATTCTCTGTTTTGCACCTTTTTTTTTAAACTTAGTTATGAATACTACCACTACAGCTTGTAAAACAATGTGGTTAAAGTGAGTTCAACAGGGCAATCTACTAAAAACTTATGGAATTAAAATGATTTCATATTTTTCAATGCAGTGATCAATACATTGTCGGCGATCTGAAGGATGAATGTAGAAACTGTTAGTGTCGAACTCTAGTTCCGGCTAACATAAGTCATTTATTTATTAACTTTGAGAAACCTAAAAGGCAATATTTAAACCGCGGTTTCTGTTCATTGCTTCTATTTCAAATCTCTCATTTGCTAATCATCAGGTGCTGCCTGTCATGTTGAAAAGCCTTTCCTTGCTTCAGAGTGGTGTTGGTGCAGCATTGCCCCTATATGGTCTACAAATAGTTTTTCTGGAATTTCGATTCCAAATCTGCACGTATCTGACGAAAGATGAGTGAATTTACGCAACTAGTTCCTAGGTATCGAAAGGCTGCAAAACAATCTAGAAATTTGTGACTTGTGTAGTGAAAGTCCGTTGCTTAAAGATGCAAGGTCATCTGGCAATCAGCTTCGTTTAAAAAAGGCTCCGGGCGGTCTTAATCAAATTAGAAAAACTCAGCGAAATGTGATCTTTAGGTAAAAAGAGTAGCACTATGAAGTGTAAAGCTTTCGTCGTATACGCTTTACCTCCAGAACGGTTTCATAATTTTTTGATCTCGGTGAAGACGAATAGTACGTCTCGAAATTGGTATTCCTTGTCACCGGACGCATGCACCTTCGGAACCTGAACCCAAAATGAAATCTTGTGGCCCAACGACAAGCTTTATAAGGCAAGAAAAAGCTCCCTTGGGTTTTTTAACACCGTAGGAAGTTCGACCGTCAGCAAGTAAAAAAAACTGGAAAAGCAAAGCAATAAACAAGAAATCAATTTTTTCGAATAGCCTAATAAAAATGTAAATGGATTACAATTATTTTAATAAAAGTAATATGAATACTGCCAACGCATAAATATAAGAGTAGCTTTCAACACCGCTCATACTGTTGCCATTTGTTTGTTTCTATAGTAGTACTGCTGCCATCTGTTTGTTTCTATAGTAGTATATGTTTCAATATTCTATTTTGTTTTTTTTATCGATTGCATTACCTTTTTTTCAGGTGCGAAAAATGTGAAAACGAAATAGGACGCCACTCAAAATCGCTAGATACCAACAAATTAGTTTGCGCCCGCTGCAAGGGACGATTCTACCTGAGAATCAACAGTGGTCAACGCTGGTAACAGACAAACAGGAAGACTCTCAATGTGAAGTAGAATTCTTTAACTGAATGCTGAAATTGACCGAAAATTCTCGGAAAGCGAGACTTCTCCCAAATATTCTTTGAAAATTGTTTTTGATAACTCGTATAGTTTCCATCGAATCTGATGAACTCATATTTTTAGCTAGTTGAAGTACGTTAGTGACAATATGACAAAAAGTATCTCAAATATCTGACCTCGCGTTGTGCAAGGTGTTTTTCCCCCGACTAGAATGTCATGACATCGCGTGATATTGTCAGTAAATCGAATTGTGTTTTCATGTATAATTGTATTGAATGTAAATATTATAGAGAAAAAAAGTGCTTATTTGAGAAAGGTGCTTTTTTTTTCATAGGCCTACTTTATCAGGGGATTGGTATGGCCGTTTACTTCGGCCGTTTACTTGTGGAAACGTTATTGCACTAGCTAATAAGGTATGTCGTGTGTAGTTTTTCTTAGTTATGGAATAGAGACCAGGAAATCAATAGCGGTGATAAGTTTATTTCTGTGAAGCAGTATTTTGTTGAATTTTCTATATTGTAGAGTTTAATTATCTGATTCGTCTACTTCAAGCTTGTGTTAAATGAGGTTGGTCTCAACAGCAACGTACATTTCGGAAGTGCAAAATTAATATTTTTACTTCTATATTATCATCTGTGTTGCTAAAAGTCGAATGAGCATCTATGAGTTTATTGAACAAGTTGGATATCAACTAGATTATATCAAACTAAAAACAATTTCAGCAGCATTCGACACAGTTTGCACGATCAAATTCTCGGGATGTTAGTAAATTTCAGAATGCTTTTCCGCATTTTATCTTAGCTGCTAAAAAGACTGACAGCAAGTCTGGTCATATTCTTTCATGGTACAATCTTAACCTCTTATAGTTTTTTTTTTGTCTTCGTCTGTGAAATTTGTGCAGTGATTTAATGAATACACCGTGGGGGTTTTAATTCGATGTGTCGCAGAAATATAGGGATGACGTCGAACCAACCTCAGACTACCTCTCCGATAAACCCTCGAGAAACTGGGTAGGCTCAACACATCGTTCCTAAAGCGGGTCATGAGTTGCAACAGACTTAGTTTCCCAGGTGCTTGTATACTCCTTTCCACAAAAGAGCTCAAGCATGTATTTATCCTGACGGTGTCGAGGATTATCTATTGGCATAGGAAACCAAGGATGTGTTATATTGATTCTAATTGCAATAAAACGACCATTCCTACTAAACTGGATTGAAACAGGGCTTGTGTTGCCAAATCGTGTTGATGACATTTACCTGCATGTACAATGCATTAGTCCCTCTCACAACGCGCAAGGGCTGACCTCTAGTCTGCCAATAAAGACTGGAATCCTTAGCTTTGCGCTAGCAGTATGTGTTCTGCTAATCGATCATCTTAAGAACTCTCAACACCGGCGTCCTCTTCGTTGTTTCGATACTCACTGCGACTACGCACGCGACAGAATATTTTTCCCTCTATACCGTCATGTCTACGTATACCTTCTACTACGTATCCTGTGTGGATAAATAAATACTCTTTTAATATTTTATTTCATATATATAAAATAAACAGTTAGCTTGGGTAATGTGTTTCGGCTTGTACCAGTAATCTATTGCTGGCCGGGCTATTATAAGAAGTATACAAGAATGTCATTTGGGTAAATGAGTGGTCATCAATAATGGTTAGCTTGGTAACACTAAACTCATCATTATCGGTCAATTTGACCATTTGCAAATATTTTTTTTGCAATGATAACAATTTTTTACGTGGATTGATATTATATAAAAAATCGTTTATAGAAGTCATTCATTTACTAACTACTTTTTCAATTGAGTTATCATCTAAATATTATTCAATTTTTTTTTGAGTATTACTCATTTTGATTCGGTATGGTAGTAATTGGTATATAATAATTGTCAGTAAGATTTGATTCTAAAAAAAAAAACGTACGCCTTCTAAGGGCACAATATACAATACTAAATTTGATCTCCTAGAGTCGTAAGCGGATAGAAAGAAGTCAGGCATTTACAACAAAATTTTGTATACAACAATACAATGGTGCAAGTTCGTGCTCGTTATGTTAATATGATATATATATATATATATATATATATATATATATATATGTAATATGCTATATATTATGTTAGCAATAATAAGGAACGAAAAAGCTGTAAGTTTGAATTGCTGAACAAATTTGGCTTATTCTGTCTAGCTTAAGTTGATGGTGGTAATATGATCACAAACACAGGAAATACTCGATCTCAACTATTGTTTGTAAATGTATTCTATTCCCCTTGTAGCATTGTAAAATCGAAAACGCTTTCAGTATTAACATCTAATGAGAATAGGTTACTATGATAACTCGGTAGTGAAACGTTCTTCTGGTAATAGTATTTCTTATCTTGTTTGCAAGGGAACCAGATCGGGTCTTATATTATAGCCGACGCCAATTTTTGTTTGTCGTATTTCTGCTGCCATGTCGGCGAGAAATGTAGTAAACATTCGTTAGCTAGTAATTACAGCACAATACCCTAGTGTTACTTCTGAAAGCCTCTTAATATTCTTGGATGGTAAGATTTTGAGTTCCTCGAAATCCTAGAACAAAGATTAATGAAACCTTTGTTTATCCATTAGCAATCTTCCTTCTAGCAAGTTCCGCCAATGATACATAAATACTTTGTAAGAATAAAGAAATGTGATTTTTACCATTATGCTATGGATGTCTACGGCTCAAGATATAAACATATCGCATTTGCCAAATCTAAACTAGATTTTCCAATCCTTTCACTTATTCATATAGAAAACTTACAATTGTCTGGTTTTAATGTTTTTTCTTCAATAGAGTCAACATTCATTCTAAGTCGGTAATTATATTTGAAAGATATATTGTAGAACAAGTGCGAAACTTAATTTAATAATCACAAAATAGAGCTGGAGTTGCTTGAAAATCGCATAGTACATTTTAGATTCGCTAAAGACATGATTCGAAGTTCAATGAATGCAAATGCTAATTATACTACTAAATGATAAGTTGTTTTGTATAGCAGTCTGGCGTAACCCGTCCCCAGAAATCGATTTCTAACTTTACAGCAATGTAGTCTACAGACGGCATCTAAAAAAACCGGTTACCAGTTTAGGCTAAGCCTCGCTTATGCAGGCCGCAGGGGCGAGTTTGGTGATTTATAAAAATTTATTGGAACCGTTTCAACTTAATAATACAAGAAATTTGGGTTTCTCTAGGCCCTAGGGGCTATAAAAAAATCTCACAGTTATAGCTTCATATTTATAGTACATCAAAACATCTTGCTCTCAGGTTGTTGTATTATGCATGGCAACAATTCAGCGCTAGGATAAACCTTGTGAGTTAGCATCGTAATCGCTCGAAGAACTTCCGTTAAACGTATGTCCTCCATAACACACTAGTGTATCTATGCGATATTCTATATGATGAAAATCGCTTCGTATGATATTATATCAGTACCTGATGAGTCCGTAAACACTGGACGTCTCCATATGGCTTAGAGAAAAAACGAAAAGCATCTCATGGTAGACACCGATAACGATTGCATTAAATTTCAAATTTTTGAGTAAATCTTATCGATCAAACACGACTTACTATTGACACATAGCTACAGCATCTCTTTTCGCCATCTCGCAGGTTGTTAGTCGGGGAAAAATGCCTTCAAGTGGTCTTTATCCACTTCGGGGAGCTGACCGGGTCGTGGTACACATTGCACGTCCGAGACAGTAAGTTTGAGCTTAGCAAAACAACTTCGAGCGATCCATTCCAGTGTAAAATCCAAACCGTATACAGCGCAAAGATTCCGCATTGCTTCGGTAGCTTTTAGGCTTCGGTAAAATGCGAAATAGACTAGGTATCAAAAACGCAAAACATCTTATTCCTCGTTGTAACTTGAATTGAAGATAATATTTAATCTATCACATCATGGAACTATAACGAAATTATAGGGAAAAGAAGAGAAGGCAGGCGGAAGGGGATAATTTCATGGAAAATATGCATACAATGGAAAATGAAGACAAACATTTTTGAAGGATAATCATTTATTAATTACGAAATATAACATGCAAGCTTTAGAGCTATTATTAGAATAATGATAGAATTACTTACCGCTGCCGATATATCAACCCATCTTTCACTTTGATCAAACTTATAAAATATATTACTGTCTGCGCTATTATCGAGATAATCACAGTAAAGTCTACTGCTTATGCGTTCTACCGTGGCTCCTTCAAATCTTAGAAAATCTGCTAAGTAATAAAAACCATACATGTTCTACAAAACAAGTGGTTTACTGCAACATTATCATAGGGCTATACAATCCGTGTTCAGGAAGCACAATCATTTTCTCTCTCATGTAGACTACGTGGAATCGTCCTGCATATGGATCTGTTTTTGGGTTTTCCATTACTTACGATTAGAGTCCCGTACCATTCTTTAAGCTGACTCTGCTGCCGCGCTTTTTCCTAATCTCCTAGTCTGAGTACATACACCAGTAAGGGTAGCATCGGGCAAGATCAACGCCTGTTCACCGCGCTAATTTCCCTTTCAGGCGAGCGGCACAAGCAAGCCCATCACAGCGAAGACGGCGGAAGAGCCGTTGTGATTGGCGGTGCTGTCGGTTATAAGAAAAGACACACAATTTGTGTCTAATGCTGTGGCCGCTTATAGATATGAAGTTCGCTCCTCTCCCACTGACGAACATCTCTCTGGCCATTGGCAGTACCAGCAGCGGCGACGGCCATTACTGGCGGGAAGGCGCCGTAAAGCGATTCGCGCAGGATCCGCACGCTTCTGGCCGTCCCGGAACAGGCCTCTTGCCGTCTGTCACTGATCGCGCGGACATCTCGTGCTGCATAGCGCTGTGCAAGTAGAGGACCTGCTGCTACGACTAGCTGTATACTCGTTCAGTCACACTCTATCAAAGAACAGGAATGGTCACAAGCAGTGGAATTACTTCCTTTTTTAGGACTTTAATTATTATTAATCTTATAATAGTAACCTTTTCTTTTACGGTGCGTCGACAAAGAGCACAGTAATGATTATTATCGTAGTTGTCGCGGGTGTGGCAGCCTGGTGCCACGAGATAGTGTAGTGTCGACCTAGTGGCCCTAGCGCGCACGCGGAGTGAACCCATGTTCAAATCAGTTGGAAAAGCCGGAGAAAGTAAACATTGCGTATTATTATTATTATTATTATGATTATACTGAAAGTCCACCGCTAGAATGTCAGAGAGTCACGCCGAGCTGGACTAAGTCGCTCATCGGTTGGTGCCGCGCAGATAGAACACGTCGGTAAAGCTGAACCTGGTAATGCCATGAACGCCACTACCTTGCCGGCGCCTAAATGCTTGTCGTGAAGACATCGGTCGCGAAGACGAGAATGAGACACTGAAGGATATACAGACCTAGGAAAAATTTGGTCATCAGGCAGCAGAACCAAAGCAGACGATTACTTCACCCGTAGCGGAATAGACGGTCACGAAGATAAAAAAGATCAAAGAATCAACCGGCACAGTCAGTAGTGAGACCCTGGGGTAGAAATGCAGCACGTAGTGTACATCGCGTGACATCGCGCCAGCGACGAGTACGAAGGCTGCTTACGACAGCAACTTGTGGACCTACTGATTGGATCAAGGTTGTAATGGCAGAAGAGCATCAGGGAGGTTTGCTAGCAAAAGCCTAATGGTGTTAGCGCAACTAATGGCGCTATGGCACTGTCCAACATAGTTCCAAGCAGTATACTACAGCACAGTCTGACATAGCCGTAAACGACAATCGATTGACATTGGATCATGGTCGTAAAAGGCGTAATCTATAAAAACTTCGTATACAGTGAGCGGGGGTAAATGAAGTGGCTAACGAACTTGAATTGACGGGAGTGTAGATGTGTCTGTGGATGCATAATTTTGTGGGGAGCGGGGGCAATCCATTTCATGCTGTTCCTCGATGATAAACATCGTTTTTGCTACGTTGATAAAGAACCCAGTTGTAAGCCGCGATAAGACACAAATATTTAGAAACAGAAGAATCCTTGCCTATCTGTGTTTGTTTTGAGGTTGATTGCCATAACTCGAACATCAAATCATAATAGGAACCGAATAGACGTAACGGGAAGGTTGAACGACCTGTTTAATCCAAGTGTAGCAAGTGTAGTTGTTGAATAGCACTTGCGGAGTGGCCTGCTGTAAAAGAATCGCTGGTTTTGGGAAATAAAATCAACTCGGAAAGGTTCTAGTTAAAGTCAGTTGACGGTAGTGAGCGCTGACTGACAAGTGAAAGAAATAACCACCATTTTCTTATTGATATCATTATTCAAAAAAATTGCATCAATATGCGGCTAAATATTCTGGACATTTGAAAGGCTACACCCTGAAAAAAGGTAAGGCACTTTTCGTTTAAGAAATTTCACCGGAATTTCAACGCTCGTAAAGCTGAGCCGGAAGTTCATGGTGTCAAGAAACCTTATGATGTGCATTTCAGTCGTTCAGATCTTCTAACGCGAGGAGGTATGCCCATCCTCATCTCTTGCCAAACTACAGCTTTAGTCAGTATTTTACTTATTTTAATTCGATCAAGTTCTGGTTTAACTAAGCAGTTTAGAGATTTTCCAGGGGACTATTGTGTTTAATTAGTCTTTATGATCAATTTCTCATTATGATGATAATGCACATTATAAAACGACCACGGTCGCACTGATATTCGGGAATAACTCCTAAGAATAATTTCGAAAATTTCAACTTTTTCTCTCTTTTTGTGTCAGTCCTTGGTGGTTTTCGTTTATTTTAATTTACTATGGAATCCAATTAGTTCTGTACTCGTCGAATTTTTAGTAAAGGATTACGTAAAGGAATGATAAAATAATTCGATTATGTGTAAATTACATTGCAAACATGCCAGTGTTTTGTGCCGAAAAATCGAAAAAAGACAACGAAGTATAAAGAATCTAATTTTCATGTTCACATAGAAGCACATTGCTTTTGCAATTGTCTTTTAATATAAACTAACGCTTTTTGGCAATTAGAAGACCGTAGACTTACATAAAAGATATACACGGGCCTACGGATCAGTTATAAGGCTGCACCCGTGTGCATTGAGTGGCAAACATACTTACAATGCATTGAGCAATTGTCTTGCCATCTTGCTGTTCTAAAAAACCCACGACCACGTATACAGTTCTTTTTATTATTAACATAATTCATGGGTTCATTTTCCATTTGCGTATTGACCAAAACGGTTAGAGATTCTAGATACAGTAACTTCGCAGATGTAAAGCTTGTCCTTTGCTGTTGATGACCATATAGTAATGATAGCAGGGACCTAATATTCGGAACGTCCATTGCAGGTAGCTTTTAAGCTATCACTTAAAACGTCTTTTTTTTTTTTATAAAACCTTATAATGACCAGTGTAAGTTAGTCGTATTACGAAATGCCTAATTGCCAATGGCTCTAACTTGACTTTTCAACTTGGAACTCATTCATTGTCAGGTTATATTTAGCAATATTCTTAAATTTGGTGAGATAATGAAACGGTAAAGTCGATTGGTGAAGAAAATTGGGGTTGACAAGAAACATGGTTCAATGACGGGTGTGCATGGGGAGTGATAGGCAAACCCACATTTTATCGAGGAGCTCCAAACATCAGAGGAAATCAAGTTATGCATTGTATTTTTACAACGAAATGCGTATCTAATTTTATACATAATAAATGTCAGCAAGCAGCATGTTGGCCATGATTTGATCAAAACCTTGAATTCTTAGCTAAATGAAGGGACGAACGAGCTGATTGAGAAATGGACTAGCAATATTTGATTTTGGTGAAAAAGAAATTTGGCGGCAGTGACACTGAAACGGTTGACGGGATTTTTTTCAAGAAGATTTGAGTAGTACAATTTACTGACCATCAAGCACATCAAAGCACTGTCTATCCAATGCGGGTCGGTAAGTGTGAGACTCGACCCAGGCGAGTGGATTCAGATCCGCCGTGACCATTACCCACTAATCGACAATTTCGCTCTCCTGCGTCACTCCTACAATCCGGTTCTTTAGTTAATAGTCCTAAAAAATCGATAAGACTCATCGTTTAAAATGACGGGCTCCAAATGACCGTAAATTTCCAATAAAAAAAACCGACATTTTTGGAAGCTTCTCTTTTGACAGTTTCGGTATATGAATTTCTAAACAGAAATCCGATTCCTCGTGAAAGTGTTATATTATATCTTGCATATTATCTATATTCTTGTAGTCTACTTCTCAGTAACATAATTCTTGTTTATGCGGTGTCCTTTTTGAAGTTCTATTGAATAACCCGAAGCAAGGAATCTATGCAAGAGCCAGATTATTATTTCTTACTAATTAAGATTAATTAATTTATACGCATAAGGTATCTAAATAAGTAACTTGCAATTTATGGGCCGTAAAGCCAACAACTCTGGTCTGAACGTTATATGCCCATCTACGTTTCAAACGAGCTTCATCAATAAACCTAATGTATACACACATGTATGTACGGAATGCTCATGGAAGATGCTACTTCAGTATAATTCTTGTGCTGGCCTGGGCTAGCCAAACCCAACAACTCATATAAAAAAGCTGCCATTGTTATGACACACTTGTCAGTTTTTGTTAAGAAACTGTTGTTTTTCTAAAAAGCGCCGGTATTCTTATTTTTTTTTAATCTTAATCTTGATATTCTTTTAGAACAATCTATCAAGGAACTTCATTACGCTATGTGGATAACCCATAAAAGTATTATCTACATAGTACCATGGCAGTAAAACTAATACGGACGCATTTATGAATGCAGAAGAAGACTTGATGAGGAACACACCTCGAATGTATCTGCGGACGCTGGATGTCGGTTCGAACTGGCCCAAACGGGTCTAAGTTTAGGTTTTTATATATTATATACATCACAGTACTTCTTTATTTCAATTTATATTTGGGTGCCGTGAGCCGCCACTTGAATTAATAGACGATTAGCTGGTTGGCTAATTGACATACAGCTGAGCTCCTTTACCGATTTATATCGCGACAACGGTTTTATAACAGTGAGCCTTACATAGTCTTCGGTTAAGCAGACTCAGCGCGTTTATCTCGTTACTGAGCAGCGACTGGCATCGTCGCCGACGATGTCATTATGAGTTTGTTTCTTGTGGCGCCTGTCTGTGCAGAAAGCGGCGACATATTGCGAAATTCTAGCAGAGCGCGGGCTGCGCAGCGAACGATTCAATTACACGCTTTTCATGTCTTGAAAAGTTCGATTTTTCAAATCACTACCACTTTTGTGTATATTTTACCAGTGAAGGCCTCCCGCGTAAAAACTCTTAAATGAATGATTCATGGTCGAATTAGAATTAGCCGACCAACTAATAACACATGAAAGCACCTTTTCAAATTTAAGAAATAAAACATTTATGACAAATCTTCGGAGAAGACGACAACTGGAAATCAATATTCGAGATGTATATGTATCCATTGACCCCGCGGCCGTTTTACAATAAATTGCGATAACAATAGTAATAGTCTAGGTCGCGGCCACATAGTCTAATGAATGTCCTCGTTTCTCTCTTCCGTTGTGCCGTACGATCAAAGCCATTCGGTGTTTGGATAAAATAAACGCCATCTGTACGTCGAGTGAAATACCTTGTTTTTCTGGGCTTCTGTGTTTAAAAGCCAAGACCACTTGGCTACGTACGCCGGTCGGGATATAAGACGAAAGATCTCATTGATTGTTTTGGATATCGGCGGTCGTAGCCGTCCATAGATTCGGTATCAACGCTCCCCGTGGCACACGGCAGCTTCTTGGGATAAAGAAATGAGGTCCGTCCGTATACAGCGAGCTAGTAGGGAGCCGAAATAGACAGAGACTTTTCTACTTCGCAAAACGTGCGACGTTTGTTCTACCTAGATATGTCCATGCGATGAATGCCATATAGGCAGGAAGGGTATTATGATTAGTAAATACTGTTCACTATTCGTTTGTAGGGTTGTCCTGCGCTGGAGTATGAAAAAAAACTCCATGTTTGGCTTTTCTTTTCAGCTGTTTTCTTCGGCCAAATATTTAGACGTATACGTGATTGCCTTCGGCAATTCAACCCGTATACGATGATTTAGATCGCGTATCGAAGTTTTCGAAAATGACGGCACTATTTATGTCTATTAGCGGCATAGGAACAGTTCAGGCTCATTTGTCTTCGCTTAGTCGACCACAAGAGATACAAATAAGTGGTATAGCAGTATTTGCCAGTTGGCCGCGTATACATAGGAATAAACAAATTAATCAGCTTTCAGATTTCAGTAATTACTAGAACGATGAAAAAGGGCAAAGAAGTAAATACACTATAGAACAACATAATATAATAGAGCGACAATTGGTGCAGAAAAACTACTGTCCTCGTCAAAGTGTGTCGATTATGTTATAAGGCATAAACCATTTTTGCCCCGGTGCCCAAAATGGGCACAGGGCTGTATACAGTAAAAGGATATTTGTTTGCCGAAACGAACTTCTTGTATCGACAAGGTAGAGTCGCTCATAGGTGCCACAATTAATTATTGTTCGATATGCGATTGTAACAATGACGAAATTGTATGCCCGCCAACAGAAATTCTAATACCTGCACATCAGGACCAAAAAAGTCTCATTAATTTCCATATCAGAATATGCGCAAAATTATCTGACAGTTGAGATTATTGGAGTCTATACGAGATTGTTGCCTCATTATCAGATAAGGGGGCTGTGTGTAAGACATTTTCACAAAAAAAAGTGCCAGCATTTCTGCAATACGCTACTGCCCTGCTGATCCTCTCTCAACGAACAGATGGTTGTTGTTGGCATACAACAAGCGACGATTTGTAATCATGTCGATAGAGGACTGACTTTGTCGTTGTGTTTACAACCTGCAGCGAAAGCGGCGTTAGTTTTGTGGCTTGGCTGGCGAAGCTGATTTGCTAATATCGTAAATCGTATACTCTACTTAATGCGTTCATCCGCCTACTGCCGCCAAATCCTAAACAGGGAGATACCCTTGTCGGGTGCAGAGCTTCAGTTGATTAATATCCCACTCAGCAGAATCAACAATATTATTTTTTTTCATAAGTATTTTCACCTATTATAATTAATAGTCTATAAAGATGCCGTCTATCGCTCAACCTGAAAGACGACAGAACCCTTAGTTGTTTGAAAGCGGTTTGTCCACAGTCATTTCGAGACTACCACAACGCCAAAGAGAACTAAGCACGCAAACATGGAAATATTCCTGATATATTAATTCATCATGGCTCTAACCGATTCGTTTTATCGTAATATTTGTCGCCATTGTCTTTATAATGCTTTCCTAATCTTGTGACGATTCAGCCGGATCTGAAACCGTAACTGCCCAC